CCCCTGTGTGTTCTACTGTGACTTTCTGGCTACAAACTTGGCTTTTTTTCCCCTACAGATACAATAATGGACTTTTTCTTTGTGTTTTCCAATATGCTTTCCTGGTTTTTGACCTCACCTTGTTTTTGACTTTGTTCTCATGATCTTCTGTAAACTGTTTGCTCATTGCCCGTCGACTGCTTCACCCTGCACTTAGGCTCACCTTGAAGTCACAGGTCACTGCTCTGAATTAGGAAAAGCGCTGTCATCACAAATACATGAAACACTGTTAATTGTGATAGGCTGGGAAGATTAGTGAATACAAACAGCAAAATCACTGAGGCAAATCAAATAAACCTAACAGCCCTCTACAAAAATAGCGTTCTAAAAAAAGACTATAGATCCTGTGACTCATCCCCTCTACTGTGAATTTACAATACACCATTCTGGGAGACAGCGCTGTATTCTCTGGTGTAACAGTAATAGACTTAGGAAATCTTTCATCCCCTCTGAAATTTCACTCTTAAACAATGTAAAGTAAGTAACTCCCTTATCTCCCAAATTACTACTATACTGTCTTCATTGATGGTAATGTATATCACTCTTTGTTATAGTGAAGTATGCCCTAAAATAAATTTATCCTATTAATAAACACAGACAGGGCCCTCAAAGCTGTGCTGCACATCTTCTAAATTGGCCATCATCCATGCATACATGGTAGTGGGGGCTTCCTCTGCTGTTGTTGTGCTCAGCTTTCAGCACAGTGGGCTGTAGCGGTGAACCCACCATAAGCATGTCGGGACAATTACGAATGATGGTCGAGTTGGTGTCCACCAACACCTGGCATGGTTCCCCCTCTACATGGGTCTGGAAAGGGTAATATAGCCAGAATTTGCTTCTTAGGTGTTTGGTGCAAGCTTTTCAAAAATTAGACCATTCTTCATGCTTTGTGGAACTGCCCAGGAGGCCATTGGTGACACTCTTACACCGATCTCCAGCAGATTCCTAGTTTCTGAGTGGTGACATTGCAGGGTCCAGTGTGGCTTCTACCTCTTAGCCATTGCCCATGGCACGGAGCTTAGACTGAGTGGCGCATGGTCCTGTGTACTCTGGACTTCCTTCTTTTTATCTGCAACAAGACTGAAGTCATGCTCATTGGCACCCCCATCGACTTCGTAAAGCCAGTCCTGTAACCCTATCTGTAGATGGCTCTGTACTTGAGCTTTAATCAAAATTGAAAAACCTTGGGGTTATATTTGATTCTGGCTTAACATTCGACCCACATGTGCAGCACACTGTCAAAACATTTTTTTCCACTTTAGAAATATCACTAAACTATACCCTATGCGATTATTAACTATGGGTGAAAAGCTGATCAACACATTTGTGTTCTCTCAAATTGGCTACTGTAATGCTCTATTCACCGGGGTATCTAAATCTTCTTTGAACAAACTGCAGTATGTCCAAAATTCAGCAGCCAGAATCCTGACCAGGTCTAGTGCAAGTGTTCACATTACTCCTATCCTGGAGTCCTTGAACTGGCTTCCAGCCAAATTCTATGTAGACTTTAAAATCTACATGCTCACCTACAAGGCTCTGCATGGCTTGGCACCTCAGTAGCTGTCTGAACTATTATTGCCCTACTCCCCACCTCGCAACCTTCACTCTTCTAATTCTGCTCTCCTTACTGTCCCCCAAGCCCATCTACATTGTATGGGTGACAGGGCCTTCTCCTGTTATGCCCCCAAGCTCTGGAACTCTCTGCCCAAAGATATCAGGAAGTCTCCTTCTCTAAACTCCTTCCAATCCAGACTCAAAACCCTCTTCTTCAGAAAAGCCTTTACTTAACTGGTTCCATTCTTCTCCCCTCTGCTCTTCTTAGCACCACCATCCACGGTCTCCTCTACATATCACAATTGTGTTCTCTTATTTCTTGTATTCTTGTTTATGGTCATCCTGTAAAGCACTTTGAGAAGCCACCTTTAAAGGCACTATATAAAATAAAGTTTATTATAAAACCTCCTCAACCTCATGCACCTTCTAGAGCATAGGGGTAGTCAGGTGGACCTGAAGCTGCAAGTGGTCAGGAATAGGGCCTTAGATGAGTAGTCAGCTCTTTTCGTACTTTATGCTAAGCCATGTGCTGGTGACAAAGAACCCAAATTTTCCCCACTAGGCCATTGCATGCAACATTTTACCTGCTACCACAACACCAGCATTCTCTCGAGTGACCGCTGAGGAAACGGGAAGATGCGGTACTTTAGGAGGGTAAGAGTCAAGTCGAGTTCTGAGGTTAATAGAAAAAGGTAGGCGAGTTGATTTCCAATCCAGAATAGGGCAAGGCTAAAGTCATAGTCAAAAGGCAGTTCCAGGATCCAAATGGTGTAGCTCAACGAGAAGGCTTCCTAATCCAAAGGGGCAAGACAGTAGATGTAGTCAAAGGTAAATTCCAAGGTGCATAACAAAGATCAAGTAGGAAACAGAATCATAGGCAAGGTAGGCACTCAAAAGAACAACCAATACCAGCCAAAAAGCAGAGCGTTCAGAAGAGCTTAAGTATTGTGCGAGGAAGAGGGTGCATTGATTGATGGGGTGTCGTGGTTGGATGATTTGCAGGAGCAGGGTCGTTTGGCAGAAGTGTTCAGGGCTGGGGAGTAATTAGTACGGGTGTGTTTCCGTGTGGGAATGTGGTAGGCAGAGGGCGTGACAAGCATGGCTCAGCAACTCCAAAGTGGCAGTCACAGGCAGAGAGGATAGCTTTAGAATTCTTCACCTTCTTATGTGCCAGGTCATTCTCTCTTGCAGTTGCAGCAATTTTAAGAGTGCGAGGATACCACATATTTATGCACGGAAAACTCAGATGAGATTTTTTATAACACCACTAATACAAGATAAATGTAATAGAACAAATGCAACTGCTTGTTGGAAAAAGTGTGGGGAGATTAAAACTCATTATGTCCATATTTTATATACCTGCCCTGTTTTGACAAGATTCAGGGATGAAGTTTAAAATTGTGGAATTTATTTTTATATGTCAACTATATTTATGCCCAGAGGATTTTCTCCTTGGAAGGACTCCCTAGATCTTGTTTTATGAAATACTGTAGATAAGTACCTCTTTAGAATAATAAGAATGTTTTAAAGTATATAACAAGATTATGATCACAAGCACCTCAAATCAGTAAATGGACTGAAACAATTAGGGAAGTGTATAAAATGGAATGGATAACACATGGCATGAGGAATCAGAACAAGCTTTTTGAAGAAAGGTGGGAAAAATAGTAATATTATGTGAAGTGACATTATGCAAAATAATGAATAACAAAGATAATAATTGTTAAATTTAATTATTATTTTATTAACATAAATGATAATTAATAACATTAATAATTCAAAAATAAAATAGTATTTCTTAAATAAATACGATATAATATATAAATATATAGATGAATATCTATTTATTCTTTACAGATGTATTGCAGATTACATTTTTAAATATAATAACTGTTTTTTTGGGGTGGTGATGGAGGGGTGAAAGGGGATCTTTTTTTGTGAGTGTATATTACCTGTTTTATTACTTTATTGTTTATTGTGTATATGACAATTATGAAAAAAACTGGATGGTAATAATAAAAGAAAAAAAAGACTGAAATGGCTTCCGTACCTCTTTTTCATGGTCTTTGTTGCTACTGCTAGCCTCCCGTTGAAACACTTTGACTAATTCAGTGACTATAGTCCTTCCTGTCAGGATTCCCAAAAGGGTGAATCCATTGTTTCACCCAGCTCCAGTGTGCTCCAGCGTGCTTCAGGCAGGGGACTCCTTTCTAGCACCAATGCAGCAACACTATCTTCTTATTAGCAGTGTTTGATGAGCACAAAATGCAGACAGGAGAGCAGCTTCAGGCTCAATCAGGTGTATTGCCCTTTAGTAATACAGGTAGGAGTGCAAATAACAATACAGCCTTGGAGTGCTTAGAGTAGGAGAGACAGACATGTACTAGACAAGACCTGGGCAAAATAAGGCCTGTGCATCACATCCAGCTTGCAATCTTGTTCTGACTAGCCTGCCACATCCAAATTGAAGCAACAATATTTTACAAAATAGCAAGTGCAGAATTTGTCAAAATCAAAGAAAAAATTCTGCTAATGATCACCGATTAATACTGTAGTGGTCTCTGTTACCTCACTTGACATTTGTCAGGGAGATGTACTAAGATAGAGCTGCTGTATGGTCAAGAGGGACAGGGAGAATGGGAGATTACTATGGTGGCTAAGAGAAATGCTGTGAACTCTGTGTTTCATGTTGGACTCTGCATTGTAACTTTTTTTGCTTCTTTACCAGTTTGGTTTGGTATTAGCCCTTTCTATACATAAATGGGCAATACATTTCTTTGTATATCACAGTGTTGACCTCAGTCACTCTTGCTACAATACTTTTTCAATGTAAGTCACTTAAGTTACTTCTATTCTGATACTAAGCTTACAATGCCACCATGCTGAAGTGGGAAATGCAAGCAACAAGCAAACATACATATATCAAAGGTATTACATATCAAAGAACTGGATGAGCACTCAGATTGTGAAACTCTTTCTGAGCTATAAAAGTTAGGAATATTTAAGTTATATAAGTTATATAAGTTTGAGCTATATAAGTTTTAGTTTGTCTGTTTAGCTCGTGTTGCTGTCCTTATTGAACTCAATAAAACCCGAAACTGCACAAGACTGTTCCTGTACCTACCAGGAAAAAGTTAAATTATTTATGTTTTTAATTATTAGTGATTTAAATTACTGGGGCAAAGCCCTCGGAACTTTAAAATCTATACCTGATCAATGTTTTAATTCATTTCCCTAAAGGCGTAATTATTAGTGTTTCTTATTAAACTGTAAAGAAATATATAAAGGTAGAGAAGTTTAAGAAAATACTAGAGCCAGTTCAGTTACAGTATGTCTCCGTCCCAGCGTTCCAGGTTTTACCAAGTTCCCTAGAGAGAAAGTTCACTTCTTGTAGTACCCGGCATGCATTGAGAAGATTTGAGTCCACGTGAAACAGCATAGTCTGATATTCGCAGTTTACAGCGGTTGTAAGAAGATCTAGGAGGGAATACAATGGCTAACTCTGAGATAGGTACTTCATATAATACTGTCATTTTTTTTTAAATTAAGATTATATACTTCGATTGTGTATGTTATGTCGTTTGTGTTACGTGTAAAATTAATGTTTCTCAGGTGCTGTATTGTGGAGTATAGACTTGGGTGAACACGAAGTGTTTGTATTTTATTAATCATCAAGCCCTTAAAAGCAATGAAGGGAATATCTGTTGTGAATCATTTTATCGAATTTAGTAATATTCCAAACTTCGGGTTTAATTCGTGCTTTTTAACATTTGTTTTGCATGTAACCTGTCATGTCCCTTAGCATTGTTTTTTTCAGGATGGCGTAGTTCATTTACGATTGAAAACAAAAAAAAAATCAAATGAGTGGAAGCGGGAGCGGAAGAAGCACTGAAAGAGCATGATCTGTTCAAGAGCTTGACTTTTTAATGACTACTCCAAGTGCTTCGTTCTCGGGGCTCAACTTCGTTATCACGAAAATAACCGTTTTATTTAATCTAATCTGTATTGAAGTGCTACTGAATGAATTGAAAACAACCCCCACGTACAGTATCTGTAGGAATTTGAATGCCACTACAGTCAGAACGCTGTTCTGTGCTAAACAGTACATTTCAATACCAGTTTCAGCGAGCTTGGTTTCTCGAAGTAGTTCCCGACTCCTCGAAAAAATATATTATATTGCAATCAACCCAAAGGGTGTTATCGAAGGGGAAAGGGCACGGGAGTTAAGTACGTTCAGTTCTTGCTGTAGAATTAGGATTTTTAGGACTTTTTAAAGTCAATCTGGATCGTATTAAGATACCTAAAGGTATCTTTTCCTTGGACTGTATTGTAATGCTTAAGTATACATGAATTCCAGTTACAGTACACCGGTATATTGGTAATACAGCTACTAATATGTTTAGTGTCTGTGGTATTTGGTACCGAATTGTTATAAATGGACATTTTAGGGAGGGAAGCGAGGCAAACGGCATGTTACTATTGCTATTATCATATCTGGGTGTCTCTTGAGTCAGTTTATTGTCTGTTGTACTGATGCGACCACATACTGGTTGCTCTGAAGAGGGAGCTGGAATGTTAAGTAATAGGAATACTGGGTAACATGTAAGGATAGCTTAAAGCAAGTGGTCTTATCAGGTTCTTTTTAAACGTAATTATGTTTTTTGACATCTCCACCTGTTCTCCGTCTTGTGGTTGAATAATTGTCATAATTGCCATTGTATTGAAAGCAATGTTGTGAAGGTATGCACATATCATATTCCTGGCTTTCATTAGACTGTTGCATCTCCTCTTGAAAATGGCCACCCTAAAAACAGTGACTCCCAATCCATTTATTTGTGCTGCTTTTACTTTTTAATATAGCAGGGATCAAGAAATAACCAGAACATTAGGTAAAACTTTAGAAATTTGAGTTTTTTATATTCTCTTTAACTTCTGGTAATCAGAGTTGAAACTTGGTGATATAATTATTTATTAACTGTACATAATACAATCTATACAATGCACAACATAAACATAATTTGAAGTATATGTGGTGTACAAATCTAGATTTTCCAGGCCTAGGTTCTGTAGACCTAGAAACCTAGAATTCTACCTCTAATCTTAAAACACAATGCAACACATAAATGAGTTTAAAACAAAAAAAAAACATAACTGAATTAAAGATTGAATTAAAAATTCAGAACTAAATGTCCTTTTCTAAAACATGGATGCCCAAAAGTAACTAAGAATCAGTTTACTAGGAGAGAATGTTTTAGTCCATGATACAGGAAATCAGGTTTTCCTAAAATAAAACTTGTAGTGCAGTCAGGATATGAACTACATGTTTGCTAAACTTTGAAACCACTAGTGTATAATTTAGAAGGCAAGCTTCATAAAGCCTGCTTGATAGTGCCAGTCAGAAAGTGTATTTTTGGAAGAAATCTGAAAATCAAGCGGTATTAAGACTGCAGTTAGGAATTTTTTTTTATCCTAAAAAATGCTGTAAGAAGCCCCCCCAATCATACTTGCTTAAATTTTTTAAAATACATTTTACTCACAAACGACAATTTTAGGTGCTTTGTAAGCTATTTGCATACATGTTCATTTAAATGCTTTTTTCCTATAGCAATTGGGAGCTCAGAAAAATAATAAATAAAAGGTTACTGAAAGGTAACTGTTACATTGTTTTTATCCTGGTTTGTAATTTGCAACTAAGAATGTAAGGTTCTGTTTATTGCTTTGTTAGCAATAATGCAGTTTTTATATTTTGCATTTGGTAAGAAAATGTATGTTGGTACTTTTAAGTAAAGTACATTTCTAGCACTGGTGATAATCAGACAATGCAACTGTGACAACGGTATGCAGTCTACAGTGTTACTATGAATGCATGCTAACCTGCTTTGAGTAGACCTTATTAGTCAAGGAAAGGGGCCACAGACCTTTTGGTATGATAGGAAAGCAAAAACTATTCGTATATGATAAGAAATGCTTAAGCTTATTTGGCAAAGATTTTGATACCTCACCCCTATTAGATGTACTTTCTGTGTTGATTTCGCATGCTCTTCTTTGTCTGAAATGTAATTGTCTCAAAATACAGCCCAGGAAATTTCCTTGCTTCATTTTTGCTTATAAATCAGCCGTGCCCAATAGAGTTCAAAATAAAATACTATTTTAGAGAAGTCAGTTAATGACAAACTGTATATTTACAAAAATACCATTTCTCAAGTATTTTAGCCCTGATACAAACATTATGGCTGATATACAATATGTATATTGTTATGAGCTAGTGCTCTTGATGTTTAGCTATGCTAGCTGTTCACGTATTGAAATTACTACTTGGTGCCTTTCCCAGAAACCTTGAAACAATGCATATTTTTTAGCTATATGCATCACTGTAGGTGAGTGAACAGGTAGGTAAACAAAAATGTTCAAAGGGGATTTCAGATTGTCTACTTTGGTAAACTTCATAGTGAATCATTAGAAGCATAATAAAGGAGAACCATTGAGGCATAGAGCATAACATAAATATAAAGGCAAGGAAGAGGATGAGAGTAGGGAGAGAATCATATAATAATGATGATGTTCCCATAATAGTACAGCAGTAGTTTCCAACACAAAAGCTTCACATGGTGTTTTGTATTCCAGCAGAGCTCTACAGCTCCAGGCTAATTAATAATTTAATTGATCTGCGTACTTGTTTAGACTTTTTCTTTGGTCAGTCCTGAGTGTCAAAAATACCCAACTTCAAGAGTTTCCAAAAATGTACATTACCTCTTAACTAGCTTGAAAATATTACAGATTAAATAACTCTTATTACTTGATCAATAAGCAGTTGCATGAAAACGTTTGTGAACCCTTTTCTTACTCATAAAAATGTGGTCTGATTTTCAACTAAGTCACAATAATAGACAAACAATCTGCTTAAACTAATAACACAGAAACAATTCTACTTCTTGTCAGTACTGAACATATTGTTTAAACATTCACAGTCGAGGTTGGGGCAAAAGTATGTGAACCTCTAGGCTAATAACTTCTCAAAAAGCTAATTGGAATCAGGTGTTCCAATCAATGAGATGAGATTGGAGGTGTGGGTTGGTGGTGCCCTGCTCTATAAAAAGGCACACAAAGGTTGGTTACTGACAGAGACTGGTCTTCTCAAGAAAGAGCTGTTCGTGTAAACCGTACTCTGATCAAAAGAAATATCAGAGGAGCTTAGAGGATGAATTGTGGAGATGCATAAAGCTGGAAAAGGCTACAAAAGCATTATTAAAGGCCTGGGTGTTCATCAATCCACAGTAAGACAAATTGAAATCTAGGTAATTCCAAAGGGTTCACAAACTGTATGATGTACAGAGAGTGGTGTGTATGTTACGGTATCCGACACTTCCATAATGAATTTTCTTTCTGAAGGGGTCCAGCTGATTACATTTCTTGTAACACAAGTTTCAGAACTGCCTTAATTGGTGTAGGTTCCAATTTAAAATAAAATTGATGTTTTAAAAGCTGAAAAGTTTTACAAAATGTGCCTCAAACACAGAATAATTAGCCTGTGATAAAAATACCTTATAGCAAAATGCAGAATGGTGTTTCAACTGCTTTTTCGTTGTTTTCTGCAGCGCTGTTGAGTGTGTCTGACAAGACTGGTGTAGTGGACTTTGCCAAGCAGCTGGTCTCTGTCGGTCTCTCCCTGGTTGCTTCTGGGGGCACCGCACAGGCTCTGCGGGACGCTGGTCTTTCTGTAAGGTATGGATTCCAGTATACTGGCATGGGTAATCTGCTGGCCTACTGTTAACATTTTTTTTGTAAGTCTGGGTGGTAGGTGATCTGTGGGTAACAGCATATCACAAAGCTAATATTACGTTGTGTATTTATCTGAAAATACCACTTTTTAGCAATTGCCTGTATTTTCAAAATGCAAATGTACATTACCTTGTCCTTTCAGCTTTCAGCTATTATGCTTTATTTCTTTTAATAGTTATTAGTCAAATTTACTGTTTGCTTTGGGTGCCACAGTACACCTTTATGATCCTATATTCATCATGAAGTAAATGGTTATGTTGCATAATGAACATAGATCATTTCTATTTGAATTGTAGCTGAAACCCTCAATAAATTGGTAAAAAAAACTGATGAGTTAGCAGCTGTAAGCTAATAATTAGCCAGTTCATCCCAGTACATCCAACTTTCTTTTTTTCCCCAAGGGATATTTCAGAACTTACGGGATTTCCAGAAATGCTGGGAGGAAGGGTGAAGACATTGCATCCAGCAGTTCATGCAGGTAAATGTGTCAATAACACAGGTTGACTGTTTTCTTTTGAACAGAAACCGAGTTCAAATACAACTTATGTTATTGTGATGTTTGACTGTTGTAGCTTTATTTAATTTCTGTTTACTTTTTGTACGTTTATATTCGGCTAATGTTCTTCTTATTTTCTATTATCATGCAGTTTTTTAGGTATTATGTAAGAACATAATAAATGTTATAGATTTATAAATGGGGCGGGCTATAGGTGACAGCGGCATGTGATTTGCTGGCCAAAGATGATCGACAGGTGGCAATTGTGGTGCATTAGATCTTAGTGAAATGATTGCTTCATTTAATCACTCTACTGTGCATGTTTAAATCTGCTTAATATGGAATATTAATATAGAATTTTACAACTAAAGGTAGGCTGGGCAAACGATTTTTTTTAATAAATAAAAAATGAGATGCGCGAAAAATGGGTGATTTTTCTTCCTCGTGATCAGCTCAGAATCTTTGTGTACGCTGTAAGGTTTTTACTTCTTAATTAAACGTTTAAAATACACGAATTTCATAAAGACAACACACGTTCCGAAGAGAAAAAATCCCATTCTTTTCTCTTCCTGGTGTGTGAAACTGATCAGCAGGTCTTTTTTTCCCAATCAGAGGCTCTGAAAATAGCGTACTGCCCACTGCGCTCCGTCAGAGAGGGGCGCGGCACCGAGAGAGGGAGGAGGCGTGGAGCTCAACAGTACAGAACGAACGTTCTGCTGGCTGGAGCGCTTATGGCAGCAATCGCGTCTGCATTTATAACTTAGTTTTTAAAATTAATCACACAATATGAACCATCTCTTTTTACTTATAAGTCACTTAATTATCATTAAGCACAGCTTTCTCACCACTTAGATTACTTTTTGATACCATCCTTAGACAAAGCAGAAACTTCTTGTTCTGTCTAATGACATCACAAGTGGAAAGATTACAGATTTTAATCGTCTTTAATTTTGTTACGTTATACATTTTAGAAACATTTCATCCATACAAACACCACAAAAATATTCTCGATTGTATTTCTGAATGGTTTGTTACACTTAGTTCACTGTTTCAAATACATCTAATTAAGAAAGTTAGGTGTTAGCATAAACTATTAGTAATCAATAATATTAAATTTAGCACTGTAATAAGTTGTTGCACTTTCCCCCGCATCTTGTAAACATATATTTTCATTGTTCAAATATACATTAAATCTGACTATCATATAATAAGTTAAATACAAAACTAAAGAAAAAATAGGGTTAAATATAATTCAAAATATTTTGCTAACAATGTTAACTGTTTATAAATAATAAATTGTATTAACTAAAGAGTAGGATGGCACAGTTGTTAGTATGCTTTTTGTTTTGTTT